TCAAATTAATTAAATTGATAGAAAAAAATAGTTAAAACGTAAGCAAATATAGCTATTTCTCTTACATAGAAGGGCTTTATCTTGAGCACCATCCTTGGTACTTTGACATGCAGCCAGATAACGTCGGACACGAAAGTCAATAAAACCAAACCAGAGGGATATCAAAGTGCCGGGACTTCCGCTTGCCGCCAGGGCGGGATTGGCCAGTGCTTCCTCAAAAACCTCTAAAAACAATTATTTCGAACAGGCGCATTATTTAATAATACTGATATTGTAATTTGTTGTTAAAAATAAATAAATAAATATATGGATAAAAAAGCATTTAATTCAGAAATTATAGAGCGTAAGAGAGCAACGTAGTGAAAGGGACGCAATGCATATTTCTAAATCGATATGGCAAGGCAACTAAACAAGATACCTGAGAGTTTTGTTTACTTGGGCATCTATGCCACCAAAGTAAAATACGAAAAGCAATATAACATAGTTGGAAACTATCAGCAAGTTAAAGGGGCGATTGTAGAACCCTGTATGACTTGCGAGTCGAGCTAATCATTATGGAATAAGAACAGAGTCGACGACTTTTATTTGGCCCTTTGACTTAAGTCTTTATCCTAAAGAGTGGAATAAAGAGGGACTTATTCGCCAGTCTCATTATCTGAAGAAACTCTAAAGCTTTTCAAACAAATAAAGATAAAACACCTTACCACTTGGCCTGAAAGGCTCAATTCTAATGAGTCACAGGGAAAAGTAAATATAAAAGCTAGTTTTCACTTAGCATTAGGCTCTAAGAAAAATTCATATTTGTCTTTAATATCGAAGATATTTTAGATGAATAGTCCAGTGCAATACAATAACAAGGTCTTGAAAAACGAAAACAGTGCTGTCTGTAAATCATAGAACGCTTAAAATAGGAAACAAGAACTTGATATATTACAAGACAAATAAGCTTGAGAGTTCACGATTAGACATTTTAAACAAGTTTCATTTACGAACAAATGAAGCAAATTAACACAATAAAAAATCAGGAAATGCAACCGATTACCTTCAACCTGAGAGAAGACTGATACATTCGAGACTCCAAAGTGGGTAGATTCGGCATCTAATGTGATTCCGTTAATAACTGGGTTTGGACTTGTCTCAGCCAACAGTTCCATTGCCAGCCCTAGGCGCAGCCACAAACCTAGGGACCATGGTGAGTTTCGAACTGACCGACGTAGGACACGCACTAGTCGATCTATGTCGGAGGATACGTCTGCCTCCTAAAGTAGCGGTTTAGAAAATCAATAGGGATATTTGAAAGGGCAGTTGCTAACGAATTCCGTAAGGCACAGATCATTTTATATAAGAAAATAAAAGGTAAACATTTAAAGAAGATCAAAATGAAAAGTGAAGGATATAGCCACTTGCAAAACAAAGAAAAATCGCTCGGAAAATCATGCCAGTTATACAATTTAGCTCATTTGGTTGAAAATATCTTTGAGATTAAGAGGCTTAATATTCAATAAAAAGATGCATGGAGTTCCAGTAATATGGGTTGGGCCGACCCGGATATGCCTAAGAGGAAACTCCACTCAGTGTTAATTCAATAATTTGTAGTATACTCATACTCGATTATCCTTATACTTATGCTTATCCTTAAACTTGATTAGTGATATTACTACGAACTTTAGTGAATAAATATTAGAAGTGGGTTGATCTCGTTGTCGCAACTTGGTCTTTTTGTCAGGGTGACTTAGTAGAACGCACCTAGTCCGAAGTTGTCTGCTATAGTAGGTGTCATGATTCCCAACATCAGACAGTGGACTTGGTACATTCTCGAACGCTTCACCGGCATTATCAGTCATTTTTGCCATTCTTCGTCTTGTCTCTGACGAGTTCGTAGCTTAGTGCGAAGAATAGCAAAACTCAGTGATGATGCCAGGGAAGCGTTTGAGAATGTACCAAGTCCACTGTCTGATGCTGGGAATCATGGCACCTACTAAAGCAGACACTTCGGACTAGGTGCGTTCTACTAAGTCGCCCTGACAACAAGACCAAGTTGCGACGAGGTCAACCCACTTATATAAATCTAAAGGAGATTGCGACCATACCAAAGGCTACAACATTTTGGTCTTTATATCTTAAATAAATATTAGATATAAAAAAATTTCCCAGTGATTTATTGTGATTCGACTTTTCATTTCGAAGAAAAAGTTGGTTTGAAGGAGTGCGCGAAATTGTCTTACCGGTAAACGAAGGATTTCATATTGGTCTATTGGATAGTTTCAAGCTAAGACAATGCCTGTCAAGTGACGGTCGAAGGGTTATCACGTGTTCCAACAGGGCCAAACGAAAACCGGTTAAGGAAATTGTCTTATGGTAAGATCGGTAGTTTAATCTCATCACAAAATTTTACTCAGTGTAAATTAGCCCAACAATTTTAAGCCTATAACTTCCTTAAAAACTTAACTTTTTTCGCAAATAAAGTCAAATTCAATCCAGGTATAAAAATAAATGAAGATATTTATCTCCCAATCGAGCACGCTTTGTTTACTACAAAAAACGGCGTTTACTAACCAGGAAATCGACAAACCGGAGCCAAATACACTCATGCAGACAAAGAGCTGTAACCGCGCGTTCCATAAGGCAGATGACTTCTGATGGAAGAAGTTTACAATGGTCTTGGGTAGCCGAGGGGAGCTGTACGGCTACTTTCGCACCGTCTCTTGCCTGTCCAGATAGTGCCAGCGGTGGTGGTCCCGTGTAGGCCTTTTTCCTACTGGCTGAGACTGCCCAATCAAGATAGACGCTCCAGATTGATAAAAGAACAGACTCGCGGTCATTTGAAGATCCTTCTTTAACTAGTGAGTCTACATCCAAGTGCTCATCTAGGCTCTAGTCGGAAAAAAAGAGACAGGAAGTTAGAACACGAATCGTACGAAAAATAAAAGATTCAATTGAATCGTTCTTGTTTTAGTAAAAACATTATTTAATGATACCAACATATCATTGTCGAGTAAATATATGTACAAATCGAAGTTTTAGTCCAGCCATTGGTAGTTGACCGTTTCCTCCGACCAAGAATTCAAATGAGCCAAGGTCGAAAGTTGTTTACCCGAATTATTTCTTTCCACTTGTATAAAATTTTTCCCAACCTTATTATAGGATATATGAAAGTAGGGTTTCGAGACTACCAGA